CATGGTTCATCATGTTAGAACTAGAATGAAACCTGTGTTACTCTAATCTGGCTCCATATTACCAAAGCTAAAATGATTAATAGCTAATCATTGGGCAAACTGGAAGTAGATAGAAAGTCTCTGGGCTTTTGAGCTGTGGACATTTCTCACTGGCCATTAGTGAGATAGACAGACTTTGACCTCAGCAGCCCCTGTTTTTTGAAGCAAACCCTTGTTCCTACCCACAAAGTGCCCTCTTTTTTTACCCATGGCATAATGCTTACAACCACATCCCCTCTGCTTTCTGCTCCTCAACAGAGCTAGAGTTCTTACCCACATTCCAGTATCTTTTTTCTCTATTCATTTCTCCCCAAAACCAAACCAAAATAACCCCTATGTTTCATAGCAAATTGTCCTGTTGGAAAGTTACATATATATTATTTGATTTAAATAATAAAGTGTTAAAGTTCATTATGTTGCACTTCTAGACATGCTTTCATTTAGCAAGTAAATAATATTTTTCCTGTTTATTTCCTGTAACATAATGCACCTGATTATAAACATAGTTAATAGATAATTTATATAAACACACACACACACACACAGACACACACAAATTTTACACATAAGCAATTTCTTCTTTCCTACCTGACTTCTCATTTCCACTAATATGTCTGCTTCAGGGCCAACTCTTTATAGAGATTTCCCTAACCATCTGTAATAACTCCTTGTTGACAACTCAATATTACAGTATTCCATAACATTAAGAGTTTGATGAGACCCTAAGAAGTTTGTCAGTTTTGATCAGTTATTTTAGACTTTATACAAAGTGCTCTAAGAGCTCATTAGATTTTAAACTTAAAAGTGACATGATGTGATTTACAATAAAGGAATTGCCCTGCCTGTTGTAGGGGTGAATTCTGCTGAGGCAGAATCAGCAAAGATAAAATGGGCAGAGGCACTTCCGTGGTTACCGTGAGACTCATGATGTCCTTTGGCATTGGTTTGAGTTTTGGGCTTGAACAAATCATGGCTGGTGACACTGCTAACCAATATGGGGGTGAATCAGGGAGATGCAGATCTTCTTGGGGTGACACTGCTAACCAATATGGGGGCGAATCAGGGAGATGCAGATCTTCTTTGGGGTTTGGAAATGAGTGTCTATGTTGACCACAATAAGTTCATGGTACTAGACATTTGAGTGAATGCCTGAGATAAGTAGTTTCTGAACCTTAGAAGAAAGGCCAAAGTCAGAAATATCCATTTGAGAATAATTAGAGCAGAGTTTCTATTTAAACAGGTCAGGATGAGATTACCTAGAGTGTAGAGGAGGCAAGAAGACCCCGGTGTAAGCTGTATGCAATGCACAAAGATTTACCCTTCAACCAGAGGAGTGAAAGTAAATGGGAAGGAGTTGCACTAGTTGGTTAGAAGAAGGAGGCAAATAAAGAAAAAAATATATAACAGGGTACCATGAAAGCAAGGCCATTTGCACGTGGTTACCAAAGAGAGAGGCAGAGAGTCCAGTGGTCTGTGCCATGCTAACCAGGAGAGCAACATTCGCATGGTTAACAGCAATTCTTCAGGGTTCCCAGATATGTCTGACAGAATTTAAATCCACAACATATTTAATCCAATGGAGATTTTATTCTTTTATTATACTCTGGGCAATCTGGAGATTTTATTATTTTATTATACTCTGGGCAATCTGCCCAGTGTTTACGGATTCTAAGAACATTTAGAAAAGATTTGAATATGAAATGCATTCTAAAGGAAATAAAAGTAATAATGAAAAAGGCTTTTTTTTATATGTACTTTGTGGCTTCAAACACAGGCCACATTCATTTTTCTTCTATGACTAGAAGCAGAACTGTGCATGTAAAATGTATATTCTAAGTTCCTTTGGGCAGGTTGTTTTTATTTTGCTTGAAACTACATCCCCAGCAGGTTCGCAGGACTTAAAGACAGGTTTGTTAAGCTCCTTGGTAAAGATAGCAAGAAAGTTTATTCCAAAGTTACAACAGTAATTTATACCTTTGTTCCATGTTGTATATCACGAACACTGTGGTATGTGTAGAAAGTTGCCGGTTTCTAGAGGATAAACATTATACCTGATACTTCTTTTTACTGTTTACACATTGTTGCTACTAACAGATGAAGTACTTAATAAATATGTATTTGATATACAAGTTTTTGTATACTTGCTATTGTATATTTGATATACAAGCTCTATAGGCTGTTAGTTTTTAAAAAATGACTTCAAAGTTCAGCCAAATGCAGCAGCTACATTTGAAACTCTGGTCATCCAGGATAGGACCCCTGAGATCACTGCAAGTGAAAAATAAAGGTGTACATACTATCAGGTTGGTGGCAGGTGCAATCACATTCCGCCGAGATCCAGGTGTCCATAACTTGTCATCCACCCCACAGGTGCTGTTGGTACTTTCCTCGGGATCATACTTGAAGAGTGCATGTTCCTGTTCTTCCTGATTTGTGGGACCTAATGGTTCAATGAAGTACCTTTGATCTCCCTGACTGAAGTAGCCCCTAAAAAATATAAGAATGCAGGCTTCTTAGAAGTTATTCCTGCATTTCATTTCCAAAGACATGTGGATCACAAAAAGGCATCATTGCCAAACATTTCAAGTTCATGGCAGGAGAATACAGTATGGCAATATAGCTGAAGATACCCTTAGAGATTAACTGTACTCATTTTCTTTCTGAGGAAAGGATCTATTGGGAGAAGTGACTCCTGAAATATCATATTGTTAATTGTTTTGGAACTAACACTACAATGGAAATTTCCTGACTCTATGTTCTTCCCATCCCCATGCTGTGTCTACTGTAAGGTGCACTGAAAA